TCATAATTGACTCTATTCTTTCGGGGCATGGTAAGTGAAAGTTTATGTGGCACCGGTATACCAAGTTCTCTCAGATCTATGCATAATGACTATTATTCATTAACACGAAAACCCCACTCTCGACAAAGTTCGGCATAATACTCATTTGGATCAAAAAGTCTCTCACTCTTGTAATCATCATCTCACTCTTGTAATAACCATATGGGTTGATGCCTACAATTGGTATCACCTACTCGTGGTCTTAAAGTAAACATAATGTGCAATGCATGTTATATGATCCATCTTATATTATGTTTTTATAGTGGTTTTCATGGTCTGAAATAAATACATTTGTCAGCAGTGCAGTAGTTTGTAGTCACCTTTATGTTTGAGTTGATGGTCAAACAGCAACAAGATACTTATGTAGTACGTGTGACTACACACTATTACATGTTAGCAAAAATAGACACTGGTGCGCAGTGATTGTGACAGCATACTGAGAAATGTAGTCCACTGATTTTAATAGACTCTAATTCATACTACGTCATAGTGATTCATGACCTATGATACGTTTAGCAGTATTAGGGTTTGTGGCTGTTAACTACTGTTTAGTCACAGGATGTGGAATGTGACAACACACTAGTGCATTGAAGTGCAATGTAGGGTATTCATTAACGTGTGCTGCTGAATAAAAAATAGTTACAATGACTGACAATTGCATCATTGTCAGTCGTTGTGACAACACACTAGGTTACTATGACTAAACACTGGTTAAATGTCAGTTTGTATGACTACACAATGCTTAACTGTCAGTAAGTGTCACTAGATATTATTGTGTAGTCAGTGACTGTAACTATATAATATTCTAATGTCATTCATTTCGGTTGTAGACTAACATACTCACATAAAAAAATTGTTTATAAGTATGAACTCATGTGAAATATTTAATGTACAGAATTCATCTCTAACAATGAATTTTAGTCTAAGAACCTTATTTGAAACTCTGGATTATCACTGGGCTTTAGAGGATGAGTTCTTTTACCTAACGAATCCTCGGTTACGATATTCACTAACAGCTACGAACACATTGATGGCGGAATGACAATATTGCTTGACAGAAAAAAAAAAATCTAAGCTTAGATTTACGTTCTTGCAACATAAGAAGGCCTCGACAACTTGCCATTGGTATGCCTATTAAAACTCCTCAAGAATAAAAACGATTATTGTTTTGCATTCAAGTTGAGAATAATCAAATGAAAATCTATTGCAATCGGTACAATCTGCGCCATATTACAAGTGACCGTGCTGTAGAAGGGAGGATGCAAGAAGCAATTTTAAGCTACCAATTGAGTGGTGAAGATAGATGTATTTCTGATCATTACTTGTCTGACAAAGATGAAGACCTATGAAGAAGTGTCATGAAAATTTTGTTTTGTAATATTTACACTTTCGTCGTCGTACTTGTGTTTGCAATATGTTTATGTACTATTTTTGCAATGTCCATCTAAATTTCAATAATTTATGTTATGTTATTCAACAAACATTTCTTTAGAGTATTGAATAAATAATCTGAAAGGCAGTAATGAATTAACATTATATAAAACTATGAACAGAAACAGATTTTATATACAACAATAATAATTACAAATTTTATACAAAAAAAGGTCAAAAAAGGACTACGTCCCATAAGGTGATGGTCTCCTCTGTCGCTTGGGCTGCTGAACATCAGACGGATGCGGTATATCTTCTGTGACTCCACCATCTACTGGATTATGTGAATAGTGTGTATGACGATCAACTCCATACCGACCTCTGCCTCCACCTATGTGTGACAGTGATGGCTTCTGTGTAACTCCCTCAATTGGAACCTCAACATCATCGGAACTGTCATCGTATGGAACAGAAGAAATAGGTCGTATGGGCATCAGTGGAACAATATGTGGAATACATGCCCATACATGTGGAAGTGATATATCTATTCTAACTAATGCCTCTGGTGCAGGTGTGAATGAAGTCGTCGATACATCAACACCTGGTAAGGTCAAAGGTGGCCCACATGATGTAACTATATGACAATCAAGCGATGATGTAGCAGCATGGTGAACGACCGGTGTAGGAATGTCAAAATCAAAAGCTAGGACATATGGTGTAGATGTGTCTGCCTTTGTAGTAGTTTGGGGAACATATGTAGCCGATGAGCCTGCCTCTAATGATGTCATAGCGGTATCCACAACCGGTGGGGGAGTCTACCCATGTATGCGTGCAGCTGGCTGACGAGGAATGCGTACACCCTGCTGTTGTGCATGCACTGGGGCTGTAACAACTAGCTACTGAATGACTGTCGGAGGTTGCATAAGTCTTCTGTGCTTGGAAAGACCTGACAAACACCGATAGCTAAGATCCCCCATCTGGCTGATGGCCGTCAAACATGTCCCCAAATCAGGCTCCCCACTAGTTGTATCACGAGCTATGTGATATACCTCTATCAGTGTCTGTTCTTGCAGCACCATAAAATAAGGATTAAAATCAATATTAAGTAATTTTTGTACCACATTTAATATATATACCAAGTAAATAACACATACCAACAGCTCGATGATACTGCCAACGGGCTGAAAACTAACGTCAAGGCGCGGCATCGGTGGTTGGATAAGTAGACGAGTAATGCGCCGATACCACTACATGTAAGGATCAGTGGCATCCATCATGTCGAGCGTAGGCTCGCCGTGAACAATAGTATTAATTAGGGGGTCTGTGTATTTTGAGTGTAATTTTGAGTGAACAATAGTATTAACGTCAGGGGATTTGAGTGTAATTTACTAACAAATATACTAACAAACATTGATGCAGTGGTTTCAATTAGGCGTGCACATAACTTAGGGGGTGGGATCTGTGTATATTATTAAAAATGTCAAGAGGTTTGAATGATTAAGTGACAAACCTCAAAGGGTCAGTGTATAATATAAAATTAATCTAGATTGAACCTAAAATCCAAAAGTGTAAATCCAAATTCTAAGCTCAACTAGGTTAAATCCAATCACAAGGCCAATTTAATGAAACAAACTTCTAAATTAAATTTTAATCTTTGAACGTAAAATTAATAACATAAAATAAAACTATAAAATAAAAATTGATACGACTTCAAAAACTATTTTTCAGTGGTGCAATATAACGATTTCTTACAGAAAAAACCTGTGCACATATTGATGTATATGTGTGACTGTGAGAGAGAGACTAATTGTGTTATTAATTTTGTAGGTAATTTGATTGATGATGTGGCTTTTTTTCTTTTGGTAAATCATAATCATTGAGAAGCTTAAATGCAACTGGTGGTGATGTTCATGAGTCTAAAATAAGTGGATCACGATTGAGCTTGTACATTGTCTTAAAATATATGCCATTTTTGTGCTCTTGATGAAGCTTGTTGTAGTTCAAAATATTTGTCTTCTAGATACATTGCGTGGTACTATGGTAAGACCAGTTTTGTAATAAAAGTTTGTATAGCGGATGAACACCCTATTTCAGGGTCACTATTTTATGTTCTCACATTAGGTTTTAAATGTGTAAACTTTGTTATGCGTCGAGGTCATTGAAATTATGAGTATATGAACTGAGTATCAGAAATCCAAGCATTGCTTTCCAGCAAAAGAATATACATACATAGCAAGAATTGCACAATTCCTAAATGTAAATCCTTTATTTGGTTTTGCAAATCCTTTACAATTCTCCCAAACAAGGTAGAAAAGGATCAAGGAGTGACCCAACTCAATTCTACCAATGAAAAAAATTTCTTCCACAAAGATAAAACAATAGGGGAATACAAGAATAGATGATTAATAGTGTTACTATAGCCACAACACATTACACATTAATCTTTATTTTTGTTCTCCACATTGGCGTCATCAAGTACTAATAGATGTTTAGACTTTAGACTATAAATAATATATTTTAAAGCTTAACATAAAATTTGACCCAATGACCAATGCATCTAAACCTTAGTAGCCAAGGCTATTATATAATATTTTTATCACCCTAATGTTTGTTTAAGAAGTTTTCGAAACCCAAACACTTCTACAGCCTGATGGAACATATCCGAAGGTAAGATTTTAAGACCTCCATCAATTTTTTTTGCTCTGTTATCGATCTTTCCTTCTTGCATCTATTCTATTTTGAACTACCTTTCAATTAACTAAAAATTGGGAAGAGTGGCAGTTACCGAGAAATGTAGGTCACCCTTGTTAACTAACAGTAGCATTGGGTGGTTGCTGAAGGTTTGCCTGAAGGTGTAACTGGGTTTCGGATGTTGGTGGGTTTTGATGGATCGCCTCAAGAAGCTTAGGCTTGGGTGGTAGTGGGTAGTGTTGGGTGGTCGTGGGTGAGGCTGGGTGGTGATGGGTGGTCGTGGGTGGTGATGGGTGTTGGTGGGTGGTGCTGCAATGGTGGTTCTTCCGGGGGGCTCAAATGGGGTTAGAGAATGGCGCTCAAATGCTGATTGAGAATGTTTGCTATGGGGTGCTGCGATGTCGCCTGAGTGAGTTAGGGCTCAAACATTTGGGCAGGGGGGAAAGAGAAAATAAGGGAAAGGAAAGAAGAGAGGAGGGAAAAATGGGTGCTAGTTTGAGTTAAAAACATTAGTAGAACTAACATTTTTTATTAAAAAGGTCAATTGCACCGACGTTTTTATATTACTTGGAATGTGCTCTCTAATCTTAAAGACGACGTTTTTTGCCTTAAAACATCAGACTAATTAACGTCTTTAACCATAAAAACATCATACCAATTGGTGCATTTAAAAATACTTGACTTTAGAAATTATTTTCAAACTAATCATTACTTGGGATGGGTCAAAAGCTCAAGCTCAAGAATTAAACTAGCTTTGATCTCTTCAGTGCCATGCCGTATAAAGGAATGAACAACCTTTTATTTTCCCTGAAAAGATCTCCTTCTAGTTCCAACTTCCCTTCGCCTTTCAGAACCGAACTTCCAAATTCAACTCCCCGGCTTTGTTCTCCGATGCTATTATGGATCGAACTCTGGAATTCGCCGGTTCCATAATCATGAAATGGAACCCAGAAACTTCAACATTTGCAAACGTCACTTCTCTCTTCTACGAGAACCGTGGTGAGGGCAATGATTTCATCAAGAACGGCAACGGTTTGCAAAGGGCCATGCACTTTTTAGCCTCTAAGAACTCCGGTTCGGAGAAGCTCGTTCGTGCCCAGAACCTGATGCAAATCGCCATGAAACGACTCCAAAAAGAGTTTTATCAGATTCTTTCGATGAACCGAGCTTATCTGGATCCTGAGTCGGTCCCGGCTCGATCATCGCATGCTTCAACTCGATCGAGCACATCCGACTACGAAGACGGTGATATTGGACCCGAAGATGATATTAAAATTGCTGGCGATTCCATCGAAGTCGAAGATGTTTCGAATATGGCCATGGTGGATTTGAGATCAATTGCTGAGTGTATGATTTCGTCTGGATATGGTAAAGAATGCGTGGAGATATACAAAATTAGAAGGAAATCGATAGTTGATGAAGGCATATACAGACTCGGAGTTGAGAAATTGAGCTCTTCACACCTACGTAAGATGGATTGGGAGGTTTTGGAGCAGAGAATCAAGAACTGGTTGAATGCTGTGAGGATTGCAATTAAAACTCTCTTCAATGGAGAGACAATTCTTTGCGATCACGTCTTTGCATCCTCGGAAACAATCAGAGAGTCAGTTTATACTTAGTAAGTAAAGAAGAAGCGTCAATCCTCTTTGGATTTCCGGAAAATGTGGCGAGAAACAGCAAGAAATCACCGGAAAGAGTATTCCGGAATCTCTAGATGTACACAGCCATTGCCAATCACTGGCCGGAGATCGAGTCCATCTTCTCCTTCGAATCAACCTTCGACATCCGATCTCAAGCACTGACATCACTCGTCAAGCTCTGTGAATCTGTACGGACATCGTTAATCGAGTTCAAATCTGCGATTCGGAAGAATTCTTCAAAATCACCGGTCGACGGAGCTGGAATTCATGCTTTAACGACTGATGTGATGCACTACCTCTGTCTTCTCGGCGATTACAACAATATACTGGCGGATATTTTAGCCGATTTACCACTGCCTGCCAAATATTCTTCGCCGGAGTCGTACTTGGACACGTCCGATTCCGAATAATTTCCGTTACCAACGATTTTTCTCCGATTCGCGTGGCTAATACTCGTCTTACTCTGCAAACTCGATGGCAAGGCAAAGCACTACAAAGACGATTCGCTCTCATAACTCTTCTTAGCCAACAACTTAAACTACGTTGTTTTTAAAATCCGTACATCGAACATGAAGTATTTATTCGGCGACAATTGGTTAACCAAGCATGAAACAAAAGTATTCGGAACATGGAGTTGCGTTGTAGGTTCCCTCCCGGAGGATCCGACGTCTGTAACGTCGTCGGAAGAAGTGAAGGAGTGTTTTAAGAGATTTAATTTGTTATTTGATCAGGCTGTCTGTGTGCGTTGTACCTGATAGTAAGCTCCGAGATGAAATCAAAGTCTCCATAGCCAGAAAACTTGTTGGGGGTGTATCGAGAGTTCTATAGTGCGCATAGGCTTGTGATTGGAAGAGAGAGAAATTTGGCTTTTGAGGTCATATATACCCCTGAGGATATGGGGAATTACTTGTCAGATTTGTTCTTTGGGAAGGTTCTGTTGGGAGTTCATCATTTTCTATGTCAACATCACAACTGCGGGAGTAAATATTGGGTGGAACGATTATATATTATGTTATCGGTCTTCGTGTAATCATCCAATAATAAAAAAAAAAGACTAAAATAAAATTCACTTCCTATCATAGAGGTGATTATATATGATATAGTTGGGTAGTTATGAGTTTGAGCGGAATTCATTGATTGATTTGTCTGCATATTAATGGATCGTTACATCATGTGACATTATTGATGTTGTATAACGGTATAATCAGTACTTTTTTCAATTGTGGACCCGTTGTGATTTTATTTTTTTTGGTAGTATATTATTATTAGGTAGTGCACGCGTGCGTTGCACGCAAACTACTTGAACATATAATTTTTCCAAGTGACTTGAAGATCATATTTCATCTTTTCAATTGTACAAATTAAGTGAAAACCTAATATTTATTAAAAAAATGACAAAAGAACAGTACTTAATTTTGAAAACCATTATTCAAAGTTGAATTCTCAAAGTTTAGTTGTGAAGCAAAGTTTAAGAGATTATTGATTATAATAAATAAAGAGAAATATAGAACTTTCCAAATGTGATATGGATCACATGAATTTTGATAATAGTTTTCTCATTCTAAGCATATTCTATAATCATTTTTATGTGATGTAACTTATTACTTGAAGATAATTAATTATCAAATAGAGATTTAATCATATGGATAAGTATTATTTTTGCAAACGAAGGCATTTGCTTAAATGAGATTGATGACCGAAGAGAAAAAAAACTATTGCAAACTCGGGTTAAAAATGTAGATTACATCAAAGAGTATTGTTAGGGTTTTTTTTTTTTTTGAGGGTCATTTGTTAAAGAATTATTAGGTTGATCAAAAATTGGGATCATATAACAAACTGAGGTAGGACTATTGTGACAATAATGACTAAGCAAAATATTCAAACCAAAATTAAGTAAGCACTAAAATAAAGTACAAAGCATGGTTCAAAATTTCATTTCGCCAAAAGTTTAAACAAGCTTTAAAATTTTGGCCCGAGGCATTTTTTAGTTCTTCAATTTAGTGTCGTTTTTTGATTAATTTAGGATATGATGTCGAATATGTTTTTTGGTCGTCTATTATTTGGCCTCCTTAAGATAAAATTTTAGTTTTATTCCTGTACCACGTCACCCAAAAACCCCACTTTACAACCACGCACATAAACTATCTATAGCAAAACACGAGCGTATGTAAAAGTTGGAATTGGTTGAACAACATCGTCCCTTATCAAGTGCCGCAACTGTGCGTGTGTGAGAGGCAAAAGAGAGAGCGAGACTTGCACATAATAACAAACTCAAATCGAAAGGCAACAATATCAAACACAACCATTGTAACTAAACTACCTTTCTATAGAAAAAAATTGGCAAATTGGAGTTAACTCGCTGAAAGTTTTTAAAAAGTATTACATCAATCCATACGATGATTCTTTTTTTTTTTTTACAAAATCAGACACAATAAAAAGTGATGACAAATTCATTCCACAAGAATTAGCCTATATTACCTTTATCGCTAATTTGATCACTATCTTAATGAAGTTATTAGTTGAACATTAGTGTCAAACCATGTAAAATTAATTTTGGGGATGCACTACAACCAGTTTCATATCATAAGAGCAATGGTACATAAAACAATAATTCATCAACGACAATACACATAACCATATACATCATAACCATAAAGTTCTAATAAACTTGTTTATACAATTGGATTGAAGTCTGCATCAAATTTGCTATTATGAGCACAAACTAAGAGTTTTTTTGAACTATCGTAATTATAAATAGATACAACTCTATTCACAACCGTAATAATAAATCATATTGTAGGTGAGGGCAGCAAATGTAAACATGCACTCAAATTTTTTTGGCATTGTTGTTTCACTTTGTAAAATAAAAAAAATAAAAAAATGTTGCCATCATTAATAGTGATAAACTTGAAGCCAATATAAACACCATTCGGATTAAACCTTGGATTCACGTAAAATTTCATTTCAGAGAAAAGATACAATTTACCCACCCGCTTATGCAATAAATTGCATCCATAGGATGACAATACATAATTATCCATTAAAATAACCAAATTATCACTAAAATACACATAAACATCGGCATTATACATGTAAGACACAATAAATTCATAAAACTACTACCTAAACAAAGACATGCCATCGGTGTAACGATGGGGGTTGATGGCATGAGTGGTTCTTTTACTATATACATTGCAAATGAATGCAATTCAAAGGTGAATATTTGCTTCATTAATTTCCGCGAGTTGATGGAATGAGTCCATGGTTGAAGACTTGCAGTCCAACTTGACGTTTATGGTTCTAAAAAATTATGAAACTAGCAACTTGGATTCAGTGTATTGACCATTCTAGTAACACCAACTCAGTCTAAAGATTGGATCTTAGGGGTCAATCCATGGACTTCTGTATCAGTGATGAATCAAGCGAGTATATATCAAAATTTGCATTGAAATTATCTCTAAGCAAAATTGTCGCTACCAGTGGGTTCTCTATTAATAATAGAGTGCAAGCACCATTTCTCAGTCAACAAGAAAAAACATTGTGAATAAATTACTTAATTCAACTACATCAAAGGGTGCGATTGTTGGGGATTAGTAAGATAATCACAAATATGCTTCTACTCTGAATTAGCTATATCACGGAAACAAATACATGAATTCACACCTCTCCAAGACAAAGTTTAAATTCTTACTTGCAAAAGATTAAGTCATTCTGAATTAAAATAAACCCAATATAGGTATCACTTGCAATGAATTTCCATTTTAAATTACTGATTTGCATGACAAAGGGTTGAAAGATGTATAGAACTCTGCCTTAGTTGCAATTTGATATTGTTTACACCCAAAATAGTAAAATTTAAGGGTGACATGTAGAAACGATCCGACAGTCATGAAAGAGTCTGTGAGAGTCTACATTTGATAAGGTGGTTAAGGAAGTAGGACTCTAAAAATCTCGACAAACAAACATGATATCATGAATTGTTAGTTAGAGACGGTTTGATGCATGTCTGTACATCTCGAGGAAAGAGGTCATTCTCACAATCATGGCCGAAAAAAGATGACTTCAACAGTTGAGGGTCATCTCCTATAAATAACAAAAGCAAGACTATAGAAGACAGATCATCGATCAAACAAAACAACTCTACACAGACCCAACATCTTTTCTACTTATTTCACTTACCAACAAATTTACCTTAACATGTAATCCATCACTCCGGTAATTTTTATCATTCTTCGATTAATGTTAAGTATAGTAATCTTTTCATTCTTCAAGTTCAGTTTCTCTGCTACTTTACCATCCAATTGTTTTTCTACATTCCAGTCCATTACGTTACAAGTTGAGAAATTATTTAAGTCCTTGATCCCTAAAGCATAGAAAAAAACTTAAAGATAATCTTATGTCTCGTTATAATTGCCTGAACAATCATGATTTTAGAATCTCACAAAAGCTCGAATAGGTAAGGTCATATATGTTTGGATTTTAAGCCTAATCAGACTTTGTCATGCCTGTAATCCAAAAATATGGTAAATATATTTTTTTGGCATGCCCCGTGAGACCCCAAGTAGCTACATAACGAACACTCGTGGAAAAGGCCAAAATTGGCAAAGCAGAAATGCCACAAGTGCAGGAGGTTGTTGAAGAAGGCATGTCTGACATCCCCAACTTGTAGGAAGATTTTCCCCTGCTTGGGGGGCAAGAAAATCCAGAATTAGACTCAGAGTCAGAGCCGGAAGCTTCGATTAAGGTGTTGTGGTAGGAAGTCTCCCAATAGGTTTATGGGTTCATCAGTGACCTTGGAGAATTGATCAGCGAGGAATCTAGTTGCACTGGAGCGACTGTTTGACAGTTTGAACCGTCTAAAGTTGCAAGGCAACCACTATTTCCCGCTGTACAAATAGTACTCCCAGAGGCATCGTAACCAGTGCTGCCCTTGAGGGCGCAGTAGGCCAGAAATAACTATTAGAGAAATAACAATCCTCTTTTCCTGGAAGATATGACCCCTAATCCCGAGTTTGGGGGGGTATAGAAGGCAATAGTAATTCGTCAATTTTCCTACCAGCGGTGACCCAGGTGGTCATGAACCGGGATCAACTAGATGAAATTATTCAAGAACATGTCAGCTCTACCATGAGATGCGTCACTAGGCTGACATACGAAAAACATGGCACGGTATCATGCTGGAGATTGTACATAGGTGGATTCTCCACTAGTGAGGGCAGCGTCATAGGGTTGGTATTGATTAGCTGCCATGGCACTCCACTCAAGTACTATGCCTCTCTTCATTTTACAGCATCAAGCAACCAAGCAGAATATGAGGCTCTCATATCAGACGTGAAACTCGTAATTGAGATGGAATCCCTCTGCCTGACAGCTTATAGCGATTCCTAGTTGATAGTCAACCAAGTAAAAAGAGATTTCGAAGTGAAGGACAAAAAGATGCAAGAATATGTGTCAGTGGTCCAAGCTTTGTTAAAAAAGTTCAACTACTTCCAAATCTACCATGTGCTCAAGGAGTAGAACGCCATGGCAAATGCTTTCGCCAAGTTTGCATCTACAAACATACTCATGTTCCAGCATTGACAGGCCACCAGCTTGAGCCAAGCAGACTCAAGGTAGAGGAGGACAATGTTAACTGTGCATCATTTGAAGCTAATTGGATGACACCTATTCAAGCTTACCTAGAGGAAGGCACTCTTCCAGAGAATCCAGTGGAAGCCAAAAAGTTGAGAATGAGAGCATCTAGATACATCATCCTGCGTGACACCCTTTACAAGAAAGGTTAGTCACTAACACTGCTTCGCTGTCTTTCCTCTGAGGAAGCCAATTATACCATGAGGGAAATCCACGAGGGAATATGTGAAAATCACTCAAGAGGGCGCGCACTAGCACACAAGGCAGTAAGGCAAGGCTATTACTGGCCTAACATGATCAAATACACCCATGAGTTCACAAGGAATTACGATAAATGTCAACGCTTTGTAACAGTGTCGAGACAACCACCAAAAAGGCTTACCACCATCATGAGCCCATGACCCTTCTCCATATGGAGGATCGACATCTTAGGTCCCCTACCTACGAGTCAAGGCCAATGCAAATTTGTGGTAGTAGCCATTGACTACTTCACAACATGGGCATAAGCTGAGTTCTTAGCCAGAATAACAGTCCAAAAAGTGAAAGACTTCATCTGTAAGAGCATAGTATGTCGTTTTGAAGTACCTCATGTAATAGTAAGTGATAACACCAAGCAGTTTGACAACAAACTCCTTAATAGCTTATGTGTTGACCTACATATCAAGAAATGCCACTCTAACTTGGCCTATCCACAAGCAAACATGCAAACAAAGGTCACAATCACAACAATCCTCCACAACCTAAAAACCAGATTGGAAAGTGCCAAGGGGCTATGGGTGGACAAGCTCCCAGGAGTACTATGGGCTTACCAGACAACTCCAAGAAGCCTTACGGGTGAGATCCCATTCTCCTTAGCCTACGGGATAGAGGCGATCATACTAGTCAAAATTGGGGTACACTCCCTTAGGGTCCAACACTATAACCTAACCACTAATGAAGAAGACCTCCACGTCAACCTCAACTAGGTAGAGTAGGAGAGGGAGATGGCCATACTCTGGAATGCATAGTTCAAGCGTCGCATGACCAAGTATTACAACTCGAGGGTGAAGCCTCGCTCTTTCTTGCTTAGGGACCTAGTCCTCAAAAAGGTCATCCTACCTACCAAGGACTCTCGAGAAGGACCCTACGTGGTTACAAAAATTGTAAGACGAGGCACCTACAGAATTCAGAACTCAGAGGGGAAAACCCTAACCCATCCATCAAACTTGGAACGCTTGAAGATGTATTACCAATAACGGGGTGCAAGTCAATGAGCGTATAAGTTAGTGACAATCATTTAAATTAAATTTTGTTGTTTTAGTTAATTATTTTTGTTATCTACTTCAAATTATGAAATAAAACTTTGCAAGAGTATCTCTGTCAAAAACTATCTCTCATTCCATAGAAATTTGTAAACAATTTACAAAAGATAGAACATAACCTAGCAACAAAAAGAGAAACAAAAAAGATAAAAGTGTTATACTCCTAACATCACTCATTGCCCCCCGAGCCACTCTCATCAAAGCTCTCCTTGTCACCATCAATCCCAATGCCTCATAAGGAACAAAGCCAGAAAAGTAAATGACAGGGAAGGCTATTGAGGCCTTCCTCTAAACTCCTCATAACCATCAATAAAAGCGCATGCAACGCCCCTCTAAGCTGCCTCCATCCTTCTCTTCATCTCAATGGAATGAGCCTCAGCCCTGGCCGCTATCTCAGTCTCTGCAACGACATCCTTCTCTCGAGCTATTCGTAGCTCGGTCTCAGCTACAACAACACTTTCATGGGACGCCCGCAACTTTATCTCTGCTCTCACGCAGGTAGCCTCTCTGTCATCCTCCAACTGGGTAGCCCTTTTATGGGACGCTAGAAGCTCAGCCTCAGGAGGCGCATCTTTCTTGTAAGCTAGCCTCAACTGTTCCTCGGCCACCTCTCGTGCCTACCTCTCTAGCCTCAACTGCTCCTCAGCAATGTCTTGTGTCTTCCTCTTTTTTGCTAAATGCCTTGATGCTTCTCCAAACTTGATTGTCTTTGAAAAAAGGCATGAAAAGTATTAGTCACCTACAAGCATTTAGAAGGCATGACATGAAAAGAAAGGCAAAACACATAAATCAAAGATGAAAAGGAGGAAGGTATATTATAGCAAACCTCTCCATCGCGGTGTCAATGATGTCTTCTGGACCTCGAGAGCTGACCTCTCTGATATCTGCGGCCGTCACAAATCTCCAATGTTGTTCCTTGGCCATATTCATGTTCTGTAGCATGGACACTGAACCACTGCTAGAAGTCGGACAATAACGTGGAGCTCCAGTCCCGATGGAAGGCTGTACGGCAGTCTCAACTCCCGAAGTGGGGGTACCCTCTAATCCAACCTCTCGGGATATAACATGCTCATCAGATCGCGTGAGAGACACTGGGGGCATCGACCTTTGCCCTCTTGGGAGGAAGGGAAAACGTCACCCTGGAAGCATAGAGAGCCTCCACTATTGCTCTATCAATAGTGGAACTTGTGGAACTCGTATAAGAATAATAATCTACAGTATTACAGTCATCAAAGTTTGTTGGAAGAGTCAAATACCTTTTCTCTTTGGCCTAGGGGAGGCTCTAGGATGACCCGCAGTGAACATAAGGGCCACAAACTGCTTGATAGGATGATCTCCCACAACCTGGACCCTACTCTCTTACTTCGCAAATAATGTGGGTAGAGCTGCAAAGGAACCAACACATGCAGTTAATGCAAGGGACATAACAGTCAAACATAAAAGCAAAGGTAAAATCCTCACCTAGCTTAGTCATCGAAGCAGTGTCCCATCTCGAAGGCACTAAGTCACGACCCTCTTCAGTGGCCCACTTATCTTCGACAAAGCAGAACCTAGATTTTCCAGCTGTGATAATTTGAAAGTATTCCAGCAATAAACTTATCAGACCTCGAAGCGAATCGGTACCGTCCTTGATGAGGAGTAGGATTATCTAGTAATACGTACGAACCCATGAACTCCTCAAAAGGAGGAGAAACACCCTCGCCATGAACCAACCGCCATAGCGAAAAGAACACCAAGATTACCCTCCAACCATTTGGGGTCAGTCTCCCCAGAGTAAGTGACAAGTGGTCAAGAATTTGACAGATAGGCCCAGGAATAGGAAATCTCAGTCTCGCATCTAGGACGTCCTCGTAAAAAATAATTTCCCTGGAAGAGTTGAAGCATGCTGGCTCATCCATATCAGCCTAGTAGCATATGATAGCGGGGGAAATATGATATGACGACACAATGCGAGCAATGTCATCATTACAATCTATGGAGCTAAAGATAGAGGTTACCTTCGAACCGTCACTGCCAGTCGTACTTTTGCCTCGCAGAAGGTTCATTGTGCTATTCCTCATAGTGACTTTGTCAGACTGAGTACCTACCAAGATCAGAGCTAGTGCCAGGTAAATTTCAAGATGAAGAAAGGATAGATAGGCGAATGGAATCGCCTTACGTAATAGAGAGGTCTAGCACGGTCCCTCTTTGGCAAAATGCAAGACATTGCTTTCGCTGTTTAGTATGCTTGCTCGTTGTTCTCTGCAGATGCCAGACAACCGCTCGTCAGGACCTAGCATCCCAGCATTGTCGCCTGCACCAGTGCTGTCAACGCTCACACTAGCCTGGTCCACGCCGAGGGCAACGCCTCCACTTCTGCCATTCCTGGCATCACCGCTTAGGCTGTCATAGGTGTTGCCTCTAGCGCGAAGGGCACCGCTCAGACCTCCGGTGTCGCCGGTGTCGCCAACCAGATCACACCCGCCAAGGGCGTTGCCCACCTGTGCGCAACCCAAGGCATCATAACCTACCTATGTGCTACCCAAAACTTCTCTGCCTTCTTGTACACGACGCAAGGAGTCGCCCTCCTCTCCTCCAGTGTCGCCCAGCAACCTGCTAGTGCCACCCAGCTTACTAGTGTCGTCCAGCAGCCTGCTAGTGCTACCCAGCTGCCTGGCGTTCCCTCTCCCGACATTGACTCTTTCTGGGGCACTGCCTCTTGCTCCCTTGGCACTGTTACCTCCTCCATTGCTGCCTCTATTGCCAACTGAACCACCTTTTGGCTCCACACTTCTCTCATTTGTTGTGTTTTCACCCAAAGCACCCCCATAAAGCTCCTCTTCCAACCTTCGATGAAGACTCCTAATTCTTCAAGAGGATATCTTTTGATTGAAAAAGGAGATGAAGTGGTTCAAGGTATAAATGTTGACCTCTAAAGCCCTAGGGGTTATCCCCTAAAAATGAAAAATGGGGTTTTTATTGCCAATGGATGGGGTTTCTTGAAGCCTTAAAGAAGATGCTTAAATGGAGGAAAGGGGTTTTAAGGTAAAATCCCATAATCGATGATAGTACTGTTCACCAACAAAACAAGAAAAATGAAAAAAGTGAGCTCCCAAGGTCTAAACGGAGCGAGAAACTAAGGAGGCTACCACCATGCAGAACAAAAAACCTTCTCTCTATCTAGATGAAGGGGCTCACTTATACCCTCAACCTCCTTTGTTACAACTAGGGCTTATGGCATGGGGGTCAAATGATGAGTCTAGATCCAGCTGGGTCCAAGTCCATTCACGGGGAAAGCCTAAATTAGCAAGAAGGCAAGCTAGGCTCAGCTTATGGCCTCAACCCAATCTAGGCCTCGACCTAATCCAGGCCTCAGCCCAATCCAGGCCTCAGCCCAATCCAGAGTTCAAGAGACCCAAGAAGATCAACGCACATGGAGAGCAATTATCGGGATAGCCACTCTCAAAGATCAAGACTATCTTTAATTGTACATATCCTTAGTTGTAGTTATCCTCCCTAAAAAACTAGTAATCTACCCTTCACGCCACTGCCTCAACTAAGACTTTGTGTCTATAAATTGTAAACCCTCTACACATGAGGGACATATCTCTACATCTCTCACACAACTATCTCTCCCATATAGCGATCCCTCCCAAAACTTACCTTTTGCTCTCTCTCTCTCACCTATTACTTCATTAATAAAGTTTTTTGGCCACCGTCACCTTTTTCAGTGGTTAGGTTACCTCGACCCAACCATCCAATCTTTGCCCTCTTGCCATTAATTGCTTCATTAATTATCCTACATCATACACTTGACTGTTTGATTGTGCATAGCCTAATTTGTGCATAGTTAGATTCGACTTATTTAAAAGATAAACTCAAAAATATGATTAGATTTGATTCATTTAAGGGTAATGCTACATAAAACTTATTTAATGATCTTCTTTACTTATCTTATCATTCTCCGTTAAAGTAATGCTACACTCATCAAATTTATTGACCAAATATCCATCCCAAATGACATGGCACCAAATAAATAAGTTCAAGTCAACTATCATGTTATTTAGAATAGATATTTGGTCTCAAAATTTGATTAGTCTAACATTAATGTCTCTGTTATTAGATTGACAATGAATTTTACTATCAATTCAATGGTTATGATCCATCATTAAATAAACTCCATTTAATAAAATCATTAAATTAAATACAACCCATCAATTACAAATGAGTCAAATTGTTCATCTTAAACTAGATTATGCTTATGTGATGAGTAAGGTTATAAGAGCCTAAAAACTTAACTTAATTTATTGGTACAATAATAATGTGTCAAATGATAAATTTCTAATAAAAAAAATTTAACAATTATAATTACAATTACAATTACAATATTCCTATTAAATTGTCATACTACATCGTCAACTCAAAATTTAAGTCATATTTAAGTTCAATAATGCAATTCAGGTCAAGTAATGCAATTCAGGTCAAGCAATGGATAACCTATCGAGACATTTTTGAATAAAGTAGTATTACGTAGACTTAAAAATTAAATTTAATAATTACAATCGTTGATATCCCTCGACGATGCCTTTCTTCCTACTCAGTCTTCTCTTTGGTGTTGCAAGCTGCAGTTGACTTCTCGCTACCACCACGAGGCCCACCACAGCACACCACACCACTCTCTCCAGCCCCAAAATGGCAAAACTGCACCTCCTCCTCATCCTTCTCACCCTTCTTTCCCTCACCACCGCCGAGATCAAGACCGTAAAGATAACTTCCGATTCCCGCCCGACGATCCTCTTCCGGAAATTCGGCTTCACCCACACCGGCCACCTCTCAATTTACGTCTCCGCCTCTGCCTCTGCCTCCGCCTCCGTCAACTCCTCTTTCTCCTCCATCGACCCTTCGCGCCTCGCCTTCTTCCTCCTCTCCGAAGAGTCCGTCATCCAAGTCCTCCCCGAACTTATGCACAATCCCAGCTTCTGCATCATCGATTCCAAATTCATCAACCTCCTTTTCACTCTCCGCGACCTCTCACCATCTCCTACCTCTTCCTTCAACCAATCCTACCCCGTCACCTTCCCCAATGAATACTTCCTCTTCTTCGCCAATTGCGTCCCTGAATTACAAGTCACCATGGACGTCCGTACAGAGCTCTACAATCTCGATTCCGGCGCCTCCAAGGACTATCTCTCCGCCGGGTTGACTCAGCTCCCCTCTCTGTATTTCCTTTTCTTCCTCATATACTCATATTTTCTCGGGTTTTGGTTATACCACTGTTACCATACCAGAAGATCAGTACATCGGATACATTTGCTCATGACCCTATTGCTTCTAACGCAAACTCTGAATTTAGTCAGCTTGGCCAAGTATAAACACTATGTAAAGGTCACAGGGACACCCCACGGGTGGAACATAATTTTCTACGCATTTCAATTCATTAGGGTTCTACTTTTGTCTACGGTGATTGTATCAATTGGTACCGGGTGGTCGTTTTTGGAACCCTCTATGCAAGGAAAAGGTGGGAAGAAAGTGTTGATGATCGTAATTCCGCTACAGGTTTTGGGCAATGTGGCTTCCATCGTCATCGGAGAAACGGGTCCGTTTAGAGAAGATTGGGTGACTTGGAATCAGGTGTTTTTCTTGGTGGATATTGTGTGCATTTGCACAATTATTTTCTCAATTAGATCATCGTTGAGGGAGGCGTCGAAGATGGATGGGAAGGCCTCGAGAAATTTGGGGAAGTTGTATGTGTTTAAGAAATTCTTTATTGTGGTGATTGGGTACTTATTTTATACAAGGATTGTTGTGTTTGCCGTGAAGATCATCGCAGCATATAGGTATCAGGGGGTGACCTATGCAGCTGAGGAGACCGGAAGTCTTGCATTTTATATGGTGATGTTTTATATATTCAGGCCGGTGGAAGAGAATGAGTACTTTGCTCCTGACAAGGAGGCTGCAGAGATAGCTCTCCGGGATCCTCTGGTGAATGCATGATCTGGTAATGGCATCTTATTTCGATATGTATGGCAATTGTTGTAAATCCTATGTTTGCAGGTTTCTTGTTTGTCAAATAGTTTTACGATAACATGTGTTGTTTGTTGCTTAAACCATTGTATGACATGATGACTTTTTCATATGATACGGAACTTTGTTTTATGCTTCAAACCTTGTTTTGAGCTAAGGTTTTATATATTGAAAGGGTTTTGTGTATTACATATTAATTGTCTTCTTATTTGATGATGGTGTCAAATCACTTTGGAAAGTAAATTTGAGCTATAAAGTTGGGCAGCCAAGCAAGGTTGTTGATTGCGGGGATAGACCAACTTTATTCTTTTCTCACTTTTTGCTAGAGTGGGAGAGAGTGTGGCCCTCTGGGAAGAGGGAAGGGGTGGGGACTGTGGGTTCTAGGGGGAGGGAATTGTGGGTTTTGAACACCGGTGCCATGGAAGCAGAAGAAGAACTGTTTTGTCAGATCCATTGAAGAAAAAACGAGAAAAAATAAATAGAAAAACATATTCTTTGGGGACATCGAATAAGATGATGAAGAAAAAGACAAGTTCATGTACATAACTTGTTTAGTGAGGAAGGAAAAAAGAAAAAAAGAACAAGTTTGATGCTGAAGAAGAAGGAAAGGGAAAAACATAGAATTGGTTCACCCATAGAACCGTTATGGCGAAGCTGAGGGCGATGGGGGTTTGAGGCTGGTTGTGTTTTGAAATTAAAAATAAACAAATGAGGGATATTTAGATGTTTTTATCAATACTGTAACTTAAGTTAAATGTGCATTTTGAACCAGAGACTATACGAGGTCTGTTTGCTTATATTTAAACAATTGGGGTGAAGACTGAATACTAATGAAAAGCCAAAGGTAAAATGGAATTTGCCCAAAAATTTATTTGTTCATACCATGTCCTCAAAGAACAAGATCGAGATAAGGCCAAGATATCCACATAATGCAGTCAACCTCCTCCTTATGTTTTTATTTTTTTTTACCCTTGTTTCAAGTATCAAAACATAAATTGGTGGTTGATAATGTAGTAGAGAACTTACCAAATGTAAAATGTTGATTATCATGATGCAATACAATCACAACAAGTGGCGTGTGAAAGATAAATAATGACATGAAAGTCTAAGATTCTTGATGTAGTTGGACATATACTCACGTAAGTAGCATAGTTGGACAATCCACTGTCACGCTTTCGTACTAATAAATATCTTTAATATCCATAGTCAGTCAATACTATGGTGGAGGAGGAATCCAACTATTCATACAACAAAGAAATAATACAACAATTAGATTAAAGATCAAGTAACAAACACAGCTAGAGGAAACCTCAACCACTATACACAGTACACTTGTCCAATCATAATGAATTAAGAACGGAAAGTCCCCAAATTTTAGTAACAGATGCCCATAAATATTTTGTTTCAATGCTTCTAGTATGTTTTCGGCATCAACATCTTCATATTTGGTAATTCTAACTGGTTTCTCACTAAAGTATGAAAAATTATATTATTTGTTGCATCATGAATGGTACGTTCAATTGATTCAACCTCAAACAAATAAACATTTCAATAAAAAGATAAAGCAGAGTGGATTTGTAACTTGAGCACAGGCTATTGTGTTTTTTTGGGCACTTCTCTTCTCTCCTGGCATGGAAATCCAAGAAACAGTCTGTTGTTTCTTGTTCTTCGACAGAAGCTGAATATCGAGCTATGACTGCTATATGTTCTAAGCTCACTTGGCTGTGTTACCTTCTTATTGATCTTCAAGTGCCTCATCCATAGACTGCTTTGCTCTATTGTGACAACATCCAGGTTGTTCTTCACATTGCTGCTAATCCTGTGTTTCATGAGCGTATTAAGCACATCGGGTTCGATTATCATCTCATTAGAGACAAAATTCAAAAAGGAAGCTGCCAAACAGCTCATGTCCTCACACAGTTTTAGTTGAAAGATATTTTCATTAAATCCTTACCTTCTTATGTTCTTAATGCTCATTTATCCAAGATGGGAATAGTTAATCTCTATTCTCCATCTTGCACCGGGTGGGTATTGCAGCATATCATAGCTGCAGAATCAAGTTCAGTGAAGGAGAAGATCAGCAGAGCAGCAGCAGAAGCAAAGGGAGAAGAAGCTGCAGCTGCAGCTGATAAAAGTGGAAATGGATAACATCATTAGTTAGTTAGTTGGTTAGCTAATAATTTGTTAGATAGTTAGCTAATTTGTTTGTCTCTTGCTGAGTTGTATTGCTGAACTGGAAGTAGCCACATGAAGGCATGTGAAGTCATGTGCGTAATTAGTTTGGTTGTTAAGGATTATATATAAATACTGTGGTATGTAATGAGTACATTTGATTGAATGAGAAGAATGCATAAAAATTCTACATGACTTAACACTGTGTTTCTTATCTTCTTCTTCCTCCTTGTATTTCTCTCTTTCTCACACATAGAGCTCTACAATCGTGATTCGGGCACCTCCAAGTCCAAAGACTATCTCTCCTCCGGCTTGACTCAGCTCCCCACTTTGTATTCCTTTTCTTCCTTGTATACTTATCTTTTCAAGGTTTTTGGTTGTACTACTGTTATCAAAACAAAAGATCAGTAGATTGTATCCATTTGCTCATGACCTTATTGATTTTTAATCAATACTATGAATCTAATCTGCGCAGCCGAGTATAAACAGTATTTTAAGGCCACAGGAACACCCCACGGGTGGAATATACTTGTCTACACATTTCAATTCAATAGGGTTCTACTTTTGTCCCTGGTGATTGTGTTGATTGGTACCGGGTGGTCGTTTTCGGAACCCTCTTTGCAAGGACAAGGTGGGAAAAGGCGCTGATGATAGTGATTCCACTACAGGTTTTGGGCAATGTGGCTTCCATTGTTATAAGAGAAAAGGGTCCGTCTAGAGAAGATTGGATGACTTGAAATCAGGTGTTTGTCTTGGTGGATATTTAGTGTTGTTGCACGATAATTTTCTCAATTAAATGGTTGTTGAGGTCGAACAAGGAAGGGAAGTTTTCTTTGTAGGAGGTTCTATATTGTTGTGATTGGGTACTTTTTTCATACGGGGACTATTGTGTTTGCCCGAATGATGCAAGAAAGAAATGCCAAGCAGCAAGCCCAAGAAATTGTTAAAGCTTTTGAGGAACTTGACCAAAAAGTCTCGATGAAAGAAATTAGGCTAATTTCATGGAATTTTCCTTTGACAGGGTTGGTGCAAGCTTAATACTAATGGTTGCTCTAAGGGTAAATCCAGGGCGAGCAGGAATTGCTGGATTCCTCAGAGATGAAAGAGGATATCGGATCAAAGGATTTTTTGGAAGAATTAACAACTCTTCAAGTTTGAATGCTAAATTATGGGCCACATACAAGGGACTCAAACTTGTTGCTGATATGGGGAGAAGAATTGTTATTGAGATAGACTCCCTCGAAGCCTTCAGTCTCATTCGGGATACGCATGAAGGCAATCATTCACATATACATTTGGTGGAAAATTGCAAGGCATCATAAGGGCCAACAATTATGAAATAGTACACACCTTGAGGGAGGGAAATCAGTGCGTTGATCTATTGGCGAACTTGGGAGTTAACCAAGAAAAAGAACTGGTGGAACTAATTTTGTCGTCTAATCAGATCTCAGACTGTTTGAGAATTGATTTAGCTGGTACGTTTTTTTGTAAGGGAACCCAACTAGATTGAGGTTTTCTCCAAAGCATAGGAAAAAAATAAAGAAAGAAATGATGGTGGGTTCCACTTAATTTTATTTCTCAAAACAAAAGCCAACTGTAAAAGTTGGGCCCATAAATATCTTTAGATTCTTTTCACATCCGTTTTTATAACAAACAAAAGGTTATTTATGACATTTAATAAATTATATGTTTATCTAATTTTTCTTTCATTTTTTGATAAAATAATTAAAAAATTATTTATCCTACTTTTTAATCTTTCTATCAAACTAGGAGGAAAATGAATTTTCGAGGAAAAAGAACTTTCTTTTCTCGAGGGATAGAAAGTATATCTACCTTTTTTTTCATCTTTTTTATTTTTCATTTCTCTGACTAAACGGACCATAATTATGGCACCAAAAAATGATAGGTTAATTGGAATAGAGAATTTTAGCACTACTACAAGTAAGTGTATTAGCCCACATTCTCTCGGATTGGTCAATTTGTTTGTTCTTTTTTGTTTCTTGAAATTGATTCAATCAAACAGGCGCAATGAAATTCCATTTAAATTACTGATTTTAATGACAAACCGACTCTAGTGTCAATTGTGACTGGCAGAGCTCGAGTTTGAGCCAAGCTTAAATGACAAGATTCAACTCTTGCTAAAGTTTAACTTGTGAGAGGCTTACAATCCTAACTAGAGCTAACATAGAACTCAATTTTCATAGCAAAAATGTTTAGTAATTAAATCTTATCGTACTTAAAAATTTTCAAAAATCTATCTATTACTATTGTATTGGAAGAAGTTGGGGTTTGATGCCTACATCTTAAATACTTATAATACCATATTTTCTTCTCATCTTAGCCATCCATAGCTCCTAAACTACCACTAACTCCCTATAATTTACCTATACCATAGTTATCAGAATCGGACCGGACCGGACATCGAACCGATAGAGTGACCAGGTCAATAGTTTAATAGTTCAACTATTGGGTCAGTTGGTCGGACCTATCAAATAATAAAAAAATAAAAAAAAAATTATAAAATATAATAATTTAACTAAAACAAATATAAAACATGTCCCTAATGCATATAATTTACCATAAATTAATGAAGTTAATATAAAAAAAATACCTTTGTTAAAAATGAAAAACACTATAAAAAAAATTTGTTTTTAACTTTAGTTGACATGAATACTTCTTAACAATAGTTAAGTTAACATTAGTTAACAACTTTGACTAACAACATATTATCATACATGAGAGAGAGAGAGAGAGTTGAAGCCGTAAGGAGAAAGGAACGAAGAACGAAAGAAGATTGAAAAAACTAAGCAGTGAAGCCTGAAGACGACTGACTGAAGTTGTGACCTGTGAAGCCTGAGCAAAAGAGAGATCGAGTGGAGAAGGAGTTGCTTGATCAGACCAGATCCCTCTGCCTGTTCGTCACTGTAAGTGGAGAAGAATCGATTGAACAAAAAGAAGAAGAACCAATTAAACTCTGTTCGGTTCGGTCTCATCTTAATCTGTTTGTTGTGCTAAGAGAAGAAAAAGGAGGTCGACTCGATTTAGGAAAAAATTGGGGATTTTGGGGGTTTTCAGTAGAACCGTCCGATTCATGATTTTTGTCAAAAATCGCTCGATTTGACTGTTTTATTCCGATTTAATTGCTTAAGCGATTCAATTCAAGAACAAGATCGGTTAAGGTCCCGGTTCACGGTCCAACCGGTCGAATTGGTCGATCCAGTCCAATCCTGATAACACTGTCTATAACCCTTTAATAATGTATATTTTTCTACTCTTGTATCTCTCTCAACCTCTTTCTATGTCACGAATCTAGAATTACACACATAGGTGATTGTGTGTAAGACCCACTGATCTATACTACTTATAAAAGTACATATGAAAAAAATTTTGTTTCACTCTTTTACCTTCTAGAACTTTCTGAATATCCAAATTACCATGCACTAATAAGTATTCATTATGAAATATATTTATTTGTCATTTCAATCCCTAATTTAATTACCAAACCTCACTACCAAATATTTATAGGTGTCCATGGGCCAGGGCGGGCTAGGCCCCCTGAATTTTTTTTCGGGGCAGGCTTGGGTAATGTAAGCCAAAGCCCTTACCCAATTGAGTTATCGACTGTGTCGGGCCGGGCTTCGTGCAGGGGTAGGCTAACTGCAGCCCAACCCGTGAGCCTATTGGGTGGGCTTGTTGGGCGGGCCTGTTTGCGAGGTTTTTTTATATATCTTTATTTAAAAATAATTAATATTTTTGTAACTTAATATCAAAAGTAAAGTCAAAATAGATAAAAATAAAATAATAAACTACATCTAATAGAATGAATAAATCTCAACTAGGTTAACACCTACTAACTTATTTGTCATTTGTATTACTCTACCATTTAAAACTTATATGTTTAATGCATGGAAAAAAAATAATACATTATTTATAATATCTAAATTTTTAAAATTTCAAATTTCAATATTGAGAGACTTTTTTTAAAATTTCAAATTTAATTGTTTAAAAGTATAACTTTTTTTTAAAGAAAGAGTAAGTTGGGCTGGGCTTGTAGGCAGGCTCTTAGGCCGAACTTCGGGCCGAGTAATGAGTTTGAAGACAAACTCAAGCCTTCTTTTTAAGAATATTAGGTTCGGACTTGGGCGAGCCAACTATCGGGTCTATCAGACATTAAATATATTTTTTTCGGGGGGTCAGGTAACAGAAGCCGTGATAACCCGACCCATAAAGACCACTAGCGATATTTGTAGGGAGAAGGGGAAGGTCACCGTTCGTCTGTCTCTCTCTCTTTCTATTCTCCTTTAATGGTAACATTAAATAGTTTCATTCTCCACTTATACTAAGGGTGTCAATTTTTGACACGACACGATAACTCGATACGAAACACGATACGAATAATGAGTTTGGGTTGACTAATTTTTTGACATGACCCGCGTATAACACGACCTGCTAACACGAATTGTTAATGAGTTGTGTTCGGGTTCAACTTGTTTAACACGAATTGACCCATCAACACGAAGTTTTTAATTCGAAAGAGATTGATCTGACATTTTTGTTGCATGTATGAGTTTTCATGTTTTGATGACTTATTTTTTCTATTACTTTTAATGTTTAATTTGGTTGTATGATGTACGATTAATATATTTAATTAGTATTATATAAATAAAATATTAATTATTTGTAACTATTTATCAAACACTGACATAATTATTGTATAAAAAAGATATTATTACTCATTATTGTTGTTATTATTATTATTAAGTTAATTTTTAGTTTATAGAAAAAGTATGAGGAGAGATTCAATTAAGTGAAAATAAAATTTTAGCATTAAATTTTTTATTCAAAATTTATGTAGGTCAACACGGATATGAACACGAAAATAAACAAATCAACTCGACATGACACGAATGATTAAATGGATTAATTATGAATTGACTAATATTCGACGCGACACAAAACCGACACAAAACGACCCTTAACTTATATACCTTCGTATCTCTCTCTCTCTCTCCTCAATTGAATAAGCATTTTTGTGGCTCAAGAAATTCTTGGAATTAATGTGTGGAGTTGCTATCGTCCATCCTAAGCCTATTCGCTTCTTTTTCTCAAGGAAAATGTATCTGCAATAAATATCAGTTATAAATTAGAAGTTGGAGCATTCCATGCCTCTCCCATTTCTAATCGTTTCAATTACTACCATAGAAAAATATGAAAACATGACTCATCAATTCAAACGCTCTGCCTCTCTCTCTTTGCATTAGGAAAGCATGAACAGGTACTGTTTCTCTTATTACTTGAACTGTATATCTATTCTGCACATGATTCCTTTGAGATTGGGCATTTTCTTCCTGTTCTAGAACATTGCTCATTATCTGTTTGATTGTAGGTTTCTATGAAATTCCTGTATGACTATATGTGGTTTCACATCGATTGTTTAGCTTTTAAAGAAAACCCAGTTCGTGAACTTGCATGATAGTAGGTTTAGAATTTCACACACTATGTGATATTCTGTTTATGGGAAAACTATCTTTTATTAAGTACATTGATGAGAAAGGTAATATGATATTTATGAATTTCTTATGAATAACTTTCTATAACAACATGTTGATTTAAAATTATCATTAGATTTGAATGTTGAATTTTAGGAATAATTAGATTTTGCGGAATAACTGACTTTTTCGGGCAACAGTCATTTAGGCAACAATTTG